GATTTGGTTTTGCTAATTAATTAATACACACACACACACACACACACACACACACACACAGTTTAACAGCATCAAAAGAAATAGTTCCGACTTCTTTTTGAGCATATGAAGACAATTCAGATAAATTTTGGCAATTCTAACCTTTGGTATCTAGCTTTACAGTATGGCTTTTTAGATCTGTTGCACATAAAGATCCAATTAATCGCAAGATCACAGCCAAATCTGGTTTATTAATCTGATTGGACTTTTCATTCACAAATTAGTGAGATTTTAATTCAGTTTAGTTTATTTTACTTCCAAAATGAACTAAATTAAACCTGCTAATTCTACCCAAATTTAACCCAAATTGAAAGCACCAAACTGAATGAGTGTCCAATTCAGTTTAACAAATCCATTAGCTGCCAGGCCACATCACCTCCCTAAAGAGAAGCTAGAATATGAAAGGGTGTAATTTGTTTAATAATGTTTAACCACTATAATCTCCCACTTATACATCAGGGATTTGTTGCAGCAGTTTCAAATGTGGTGCGACCTTAACTCATTAGGTGAGTAAGAAAAGCTGCCTCTTACTCTGTAATATGTAGACTGCAAAATGAGTTACGACTGAGCATAGATATCCCTAATACAAGGGTGTTTCATAACATGGCAATTTTTAAATAAAACCATTGTGTGCGCAATGATCATTTTCTGGACCACATCAATTCTCCACAGTGTCATAAACGATGGGTCCCACTCAACAATACCACCATTTGTTCCCTGCTGCTATGTAGTTTCCTAGTCACTGCACACAAAACAGTTTCATTTTGAAATTGCCGTTACTTTCTGAAATGCCCTGGTACATCTGCCAAGAAAATAGTTTGTGACACCTGAGTAAACTTATAATAAAATGCACATCTTTACAAACTGTTCGTTGATTTTTATATTTACACTAAAACTAATTCATTACAAAACTTTGCCTTTTAAATTTTCTAGAGCACAAGACAGTACCTACTGAAGTTGATACACAGGTGCATGAAACTACTAGTTTCAGATATCATACTGAACTGTAGGAAGGGTTAGCATATAAAGAATAGCACACTGTTCTCAAAATATACATAGTGTTTCCATTATAAAAGGTAATTACATCTCAAAGAAGTTTTAAATAGAACACTTAATAAGTGAGGGGAAAAAGACTGCTTGTTGGTACTAAAGCCTTTACTGTAATAAACTAAATATATTTACAATTTATACAAATGTTTGACCTTCAACAAAAATACAAAAACATATCACAAGATGCAAAACCAGGAAACAAGTTCTTCTGAGACTTCACTGCTCTACACGGGACAGAATGCAAGTTGAACTGCAAAGAACAGAAAGGTAATCCCACATTCAGGCAATGAGAACGATTTGCATGAGGTCACAAGGAAAGAAAAGAAAGAAAAGGCTCTGACATTCTCCAGTCAACTCAGTTTTTAAATCCAAAAACCTAGGCTACATCCACCCATCCTGAATCCACGCTTCTTTTGGTCCCAGTAGCTGATATCTAGTTGCTGGATGCTGCCTTCTATTTTGTACACTTGGAGTCATTTCATGTCATGTTCTGACACTGTCTTTTTCCTTTTTTAAAAAGGTAAAACCTTTCTACTTCTACAAATTAAGAACATTTTGGCCCAGTTCAACTTCTAAAAGTTATGTCCCCATCATGCTTTTCAGTAGATAACTTCATAGACTGTAGCTTTCTTGTCTCCAGAGCCAGTGACTATGTATTTATCATCCACAGAGATGTCACAACTAAGCACTGATGAGGATTCTTTGGACTAAGAGAAAAAAGAAAAAAAGATTATTTAAAAAAACAAAAATACCTTCTCTTTAGCCTCCCCCCAGCACAGTGATTGGTCAAGCACTTAGGTGATGATAAAAAGCTAGATCTTTGTACATCAATTTCATCTTTTTCTTTAAAAAGGCTATTTATTCCTACCTGGAATATGCTGGCTCCATAAGGGGTCCGCCAGGCATTAAGAAGGTTATCTTTTCCAGTACTCACAAACCACTTTCCTAAGAATGTAACAGAAAAGCAAAGAGACCATATAAGAAAAGACCTGACAACTGATAGATTTTAAATTTTCAACTCACGTTGTCTATGCGATTTGACTCAATAGGCTTATTAACCTCAGGGGTTATTAGTTGGCTGATTAGCACTATTCAGAGCTCTTAGTACTAATCAACAGGGTATTTTGCTTCCATCAGTGGGGGTATATGACACCCACCCACATAGGTACACAGTTGCTGCTTATAAAAATAATACTTAAAATAAACTACTTGGGAAGAATAAATTGTTTTACAAATATATACTAATTCTTACAACAGCTTTACAGACATGCATTATCTTTGTTTTACAGATGGTGAATAAAAGACAGAAAGGTAAACTGACTTCCTCAAGTCACACAGCAAGTAACGAGCAGAGTATAAATGAGCACTTAGGCTTTCAGTCTGATCCTCTGTCCAACTTACCACAATACGCAAACTTGAGTGACAATACACAGCTCTCATGAAGATGCAGTTGATACTTGTCTGGTTTATTCACATGCAGTACTTCTACATTACTGCTCTCCATTCCCACAGCCAGCCATTCACCAGTAGGACAATATCCAAGGGAAAAGATCTGGGGACGAGAAAATATTTACTTCTGCAAGGTCAGTGAATGAAGCAAGACCATGGGGAAGAGAAGAAAACATCCAAACTTTTCAAGGATTAACAAGAATTTAATTCAAAGTCTTGCAAATAAGTATTCTGCCCTCCTAACTATTCACGTAATTCATAATATTTTAAGAGAAACAGTAAACTGTCATTTAAACTGTAGCTGTGGTTTGTGAGAGTTTTAAAAACATTATGCATGTTTTGGCTTTTAAACAGCATAGTAACTATTTCCCACTTAGTTTAGTTTTTGACTATCATCCTAAATAAACTAGCATGTTTAAAAAAAAAAAAAAAAAAAAAAAGGATGACAGGAAAAACAAGTAACCTGTGATGTGAAGTCATGCTGTTGTAGCTGCCTCCCTTCTCTCAAGTCCCAAGATCTGACGGTGTTATCCAAACCTCCTGTCCATAGCTTGGTGCCATCATTAGAAATGTCAATACAGCTGGCTCCATCTGTGTGGCCCTGGAATTGCCTGATAAAACAAACCAGATTGAATAATGATTTCCTGCCAAAGCTCAAGGTAAACACTGTTGTGTTGTTAGTTTTGGACTCTGTATGTGTGTGTCATCTCTTCTGTGTCTGCTGATGTGCAAGGTTCTGCCCCTCCCTCTGGCTATAAATGAAATACACTCATATTACAAGGACTATTTTGCAGGTGCTGGGGAAATGAAGTTTACCACAGCCAACTAAACAAAAGCAGTCAAATATTTGCTATCACATTATGGGAGGGAAACAAGTTATTTAAAAACCATGAAGTTTAGTAGCTATCACATCTGGAAAAAAAAAAAACAAAGCCTATGAATTCAAACCAGGATTAAATAAAAAGAATAACTGGAAAACAAACAATTTTCTTACGTTAGGCCACTTATTTCTGGGATTTTCTTTAACATTAAATACCTATCAGATTTGGGTATATAAACAGTAAAATTTTGTAAAAAACCAAAACAAACCTTTTTAACTAGTAAAAAATTAACACCTCCTTGGCTGCCACAACTAAGCTAGCAAAATTATATCTTATGAGGTGGCAAGTCACGAGATCTCATCGTTGTAAGCAGTATGTATAGTTTTAAGAAGTTGTCTATTAGGAATTTACAGGTCTGAGAAACAAAGGGTTGACTTAAATTTTTCTCAGTCCTTTGAAAGGAGTCTTCTGAGACTCCTGCATTTTTCATCAGCAATTAGTTTGGAGGAAATCCTATGCTTTAGCCTCAAAGGCGGAGGGGGGAAAGCAACTATCTTGGGACTGACGGCTAGGGATCATTTATAACTGCCACAGAAAGGTCACATGACATGTTTTGTTTTGAGCTGATCATTTGAAAACTCAAGGAGGTTATCAATTAGTAAAGAGCAGCAGGCAATAGGACACTTCAAACAAAAACACAAATGGGTAAAAAGTGCATTAAGGGCACAAAGGCTAGGGACAGACACTCAAAAAGCCTGAACCTGAATTGATTCAGACTTTACAGGTTAGTCTAACCTGCAGAGAGTGAACTTGTTTACAAGTGGATAGACGTTCAGCACATGTCTGCAGTGGCTCAAGCCAGAAGCCCAGGGGCTTCTGCGATAGAGGCAGCCAGCACTGCGCTGGGGGCGAGGAGCACAACCCTGCACAGCATGCCCAGCTGCTCCACACCGCGTCTGCAGCTCTGCACTCAGAGAAGAAGCCCCCCACTGAACTCTGCGGGGAAGCAGGGGGTGAGGATCCCTGCACTCCTGGCACAGTGAGAGATCTGCCCCATGAAGAGTGGGGGAAGCAGCTGGCTCCAGTGTGGGGCTTCTCCTGCCGCAGGCTCAGACTCAGAGAGCAGAGCGGTAAGGATAAGGCAGGCTTTGCTCCCTCCCCTTGCACACCACTGGCCAGAGCTGCGTCTGTGCTGGGCATGAGCATCCTGACCTCCCCGCCTGCTGCTGCTGCCAGGCAGTGGGGGCTGCATGCCATGTAGGGAGTGTGTGTAGGTCCCTACACCCCCGACCCTCCCTCACACACCTACTCCCTGCTCCGTGCTCCCGCTGTCCCTCTGGGAGGAGGAGGAAGAGTTCCCCCCAGCATGGAAGAGCCTCGCCTAGCCCCCCACCCCAACTCTGGGGCTAGGCAGCATTGCATGGAGCCTCCCCACCCCACCCCCGGCCCCTCAGTGGCGGGGTGGGAGGGAAGGAGGAAGAGGAAGAAGAGGAAGAGTCCCCGTCCAGCAACTCAGAGTCCCCCTCCCCACCCTGGAAGAAGGGGGAAAGCACAGAAGAGAGCCCCTGTCCCAACCCTGTGGGACAACCTACCCAGCATGGCCCCATGGGGGCAGGGAGAAGGGTCAATTCCTCCCTCCATCCCCTTCCCTGCAGCTGGGGTCTGCCAGCTCCAGGGGCCACTACTGCAGCCTCCTCCCCTCTGCTCCCTGGCAGACAGGTTGACCACAGCTAAGGTGGGGGAAGAGGGGCAGGAAGGAAGAATTAACCCCCCTCCCTGCCCACTTTGCCTTAACAGGGCCATGCCGGCCAGTGTCTCTGTTAGGGCCGGTCCCTGCTCTAGCTAGAGAGCAGAGGGGAGGGGCCAGCCCTGCAGTGGAAGCAGACAGCCCTGCCCAGCCCAGAGAGCATGCCGGCATGCTGGGGGAGTCTGGTTTAACTTAAACCAGCAAGGGGTCTGGGACAGACATTGCATAAACCAGTTTGAGCCAAATCAGTTTAGTCTAGAACTACCTTCAACCAGGTTTATCTCAAACCAGTTTGGGCTATTTTCAAACTGGTTTATGTGCACTGAATGTCTGTTCTGTTACAGGTTTAAGCCATTTTCTGATTACTTGAACGGTTTGTGTGTAACGTCTGTCCCTAGCCAGTAGCAAGTAGTACTAGTCACTCACAATAGATTCATAAACATTTGTTCATAAAAAATCATAAAAACTAAAAATCAAAACACATCTTTCCTACAGAGATACAGCATAAATATACAGCACAAAAGTGAAAAAGGAGATTGTATATAGGTAGCATAGGACATACAGGTTAGACAAACATTTGTCTAGGACGGTTTAGACAGGGATGATTCTGCCTCAAGCAGAAGGCTGGGCTAGTGACCACCCATGGTCCCTTTCAGCCTTAATTTTCTATGACAAAATACTAACTTGTCATAGAAACTTGGACCTTTTCATTGCATTTACACAAAAATCATCAATATGAATATCTGGGCCTAAACTTTAAATAGTAACTAATGATTTTGGGTACCTTTTCTGAGGCACATTAAATAGACCTGTTTTTACAAGCACTTTCTGAAAATCAGGCCTCTTTTTAATTCAGGCTCCATTTCCTGATAATATTATGGACTGCTGCAAACTTACTAGGAATGTACTATCATTAACTTTTAGTGGACCACAGGACTAGTGTGCTGTAAGCTACCCCAGGCACTATTACATTCACCCTCAATACAATGACTAAAAGGAGAAATATTGTTATACCAGGCACTCGCATTTAGAAATGGATTCTTCCTCCAACATGTTCAGTGTTTTTGTTTTTGAGTGTTTGAAAGGAAGTGGTTTAAGGAAACAGCTTATGTGGGCAGTAAGTTAATCATAATCTTTGCCAAATAAACCTAAAAGCATTAGAGATTAGTGACAGGGAGAATCATTTCTCAAGAAAACTGAACTACTGCCAAAAACAATATCTTAAAAATGTGAGAGGAGAAAACCAAGGGGGAATGGAAGAAAACCAGAATGCATGAACTACTTTCAATTTTTATTTAATGTCATTTAAAATTTGGTTATGTGAAACAATTTAAGAGCCACCTCAAGCCATGTTTACAGGCTTGGGTGAAGCCCAGTATAACCAGTGATGTAGTAACAGATCTTAAGCAAAAGGGCTGCAGGATTCAGTGCTCATGGAGTTTCCCAAAAAGCATGCCAAAAGAACAATGCATTGGTCTCATGCATAAAGAGCTATTTATATTTCAAGCTTTAATGATACAGTTATCAAAATCCATATTCTTCTACATTCCTCCTGAATGTTGGAGTATTTGTTACCATAATCGGGTAATTTTTCATGCTTACGTTAAGTATTTTAGACAAGAAAAGAAAACCCAACATACCACAATCGGCCCTGCAGTTCGCATTTGGTCTTCAACAACCACAAAAATTAAGTAACGTTTATTCCAAGATTTGTAGTGCTTTGGAACTATATAAAACTCAAAGCCTATGGAAGTTTTACATCCAATAGGCTTTGTGTATCAGGCTTTTAATGATCTGTAAGAATGTCTTTCAGAACCACTAAAACTTGCTACGTCAGATTCAGACCATGTTCTCTAGACCAGTGGTTTTCAAACTTCCTGAAAGTCAAAAGAACTCTTTCATATCACTTCTGCTGCTGTGTAACCCCTACCCCTGGCTTTGTGGGCTGTGTAGGCCAACGTGGAGCCAGGCAATCTGGAATGGCACCAGCAGTGCATCAGCTCTTGGCCATTACCCGCAGTCTCTTTACAGAACTACCTCGAAACTCTAGGGTTCCACTGAACACAGTTTAAAAACCACTGCTCTAGACATTGGGACATCTGCTCAGCATTTCTGCCATGAAATACACTTGACACAGGTATTTAGCTAGCCTTTGAAAGAGTAACTTTATTAAGCCCACTTTTGCATAGCGAGAAGGATTCTCACCTGACCAAGGTCTGGTTGTGCAGGTCCCACACTGCAATGTTCCCATCGCTACAGCAGGAGAAGCAGACCTTGGAATCGGGACTGATGGCCAGAGCGTAGCAGGCTGGAGCAGAGGATGTCAGCTCTGCTTTTATACGAGGAGTTGGAGCTGCCAGGTCCCATATGGATAATGTGCTGGCTTCCCCACCAACTATGAGGGTACATCCATCAGGCAGCAGTTTACAGGAGCGGATGTAGTTATCTCTGTTCTGTATAACACAAGCCACCTCAGTTACATTAATAAGTACCTACTGATAATGACCAATGATATGATTCATGTTGCTTCCAAGTTTTAAACACTAGACTACATTTTCCTGGTGCCAAAGTATACAAAAGTCACCAGCTGATCTTAAATGGTTTCAATCTCCTACTTTCAATCATCATAGAACAGAAACTGCAGCTGTGGAAATTAAACTCCAGTTTTCATATTGCGAATCCGGCAGCATACTTCATTCTGAACCTGATGGATGGCAATTCTTCCATCTCATTACAAACTGAAAGAGCCAAGTTCACAGAGCCAAGGTAAGCTCACTTTTGTGCAAGCTCACTCCTCGTGCTATTACTGCCAACACCGCAGGAGTATTTCCGAAAAAGCAAATGACCTCTCTGTTTGGCAACATGAAGAAACCATCTATGAAAAAGCAGTTTTCAAATCCAATGCCCAAGAACTTGGGATTTTCTAAAAATACTACTTTGTGCTTACCACTGGTAACTACAAATGCTGCACAAGTGTTCTCACTGCTCTTAACCTATTTCTTGGTATTTGTACTGAATCTTCATTGGGTTCTAATCAGATTTTGACATAACTGGTTTAAGATTTACAGTATTGCTGCTGACCAAAAGTACCAAGGGGAAACTGGGAAAGAAATATTCTAGCTATTACAAGTTTCACTCCATAAATGTATTGGCCATCCTAACTTCTTCATTTTTAATAGACAAATTAACGAGGTGAGCTGTCAGAAGCATAAAGCCTATAACTCAAAACATCCAAAACTAGTAAAAAGAAATCAGTATTGCTTGCTTTGTCTAGCACCTTCCTTACTAGAGCAGAGGAGCAATACATTGTGTAGGCAGCAGTATATAATTGAAATTTAGGCAGGAATACTGACCCCTGGAATGCATTTCCCACAAATCATTACATATATTATTGTAATCAGAAGGCTAACAGAAAAGCAGCAGCAAAGGTCAGGTAAAGGCAAAGTATACACCTTTGCTTCTGTCACAGCACTGTCAAATACTGAAACCACAATTACTGTGTTTTTAATAGGTATTATTGGGCTTCCTAACTTCAGCTCCCTGAAAGGACACTTGCCCTCACAATTCACATTTTACTGACCACCCTTCTTTCCAACCATTTTAACTGACATAGGAGTTCGAGAGAAGGGTACAGAACATTATACACTTTGCTCAGCTCACTGTCAGCTCTAAACAAAGGTACAGGCGTTAGGAACAACAGCAAATGCATTAGTGCCATGCTAATTGTAAGACCATTTCTCATGCTGTTTAATCAGGTACTTGGTAAGAAATGCTTACTTGAAATGCTTCACTTCAGTTCTACTCTTTTAGAAATGAAGTGAAGCAAAAAGAGAAACATATTTTTGATATGCTCTGCCTTGCAGTGCAAGCTTGACTGCATTCCTTTTCAGATACTTTTGTCTCATCTACTGGGAAAGCTTCCTACAAGGGCGCAGATTAAAACAACTTTGGCAGATTCTTGCTTAGAAGTCCTATGTACACTCAACCCATATGATTAACCAATGTTGATCATATTTATAATAAATAAATAAGGCTTCTTTTTTCATTTAAAAGAGACTTAAATATCTAAAGCAGGAAACAGATCCGCTGGCTATTTCCTCATAATATGAATGTAATCCAGGGCTGGACAGCTATTTCCTTATTGGGTCTCCAAGGAGAAATTACTTTATGCATATGTTCCTGTTCACTTACCAGGCAGTCCAGCTGAGAGACAGGGCTCTTGTTGCCAGGTTGGCTGATATCCCAGACTTTAACACACCCTTTTCCACCAGTGTACACATGCCTTGTGGGGTTGCTGATGGTTACTGCACATACTACTTCCCCATGATTCAAAGTGTTGATCTGACGTGCATGCCGAGGGATTCCCGGACCAATGAGGGCATCAGGAGGGAAAGGTACAGGCTGCATCTGACCATCTGCAGTAACATGAAAGGAGTATGCTCTTTTTTGAAGCAGAGAAGGGAAAAAAAGGAGAAAGAATTAGGTCAGCTAGGTACATTGCTGAGTTGTGAGAAAAGTATTTAACAGCTCCTTTGCTTTGCTGATTCTATTTTTCACATGGCATCAATCAATGCTGCACTGCAAAGTGGTAGAGGCACAGAAAATCTGGGATGGGAGGAGAGCACTCACAACAGACAGTTCCATTATCTCTTACACGATAAGTATTTCACAGGAAAAGTACACATTAAGTGGTACAACTTACAAGGCCTTCTCTAAAGGCATCTACAAGGTTATTGCTGCTACCCAGTAGTGTAACAAGCTTAGCTGGAGTCCAAGGCAGACTCTGTAAAAGCTATTCCCCCACTCCCTCCCACATCACTACCCCACCACTTAGCTGGATGGTGAAGTGGAAAACGTGGAGCTGGCAGGAACTGGAAGCCAGGTTAGAGAAGCTTTCTTGGAGCCCTGCTCCCAGCTGCCAGTTTTTACATTGCCGCCTTGCTCCTGATCTGAATAATGAGCTGGCAAAGCCCCCTGCCTCATCCCAAAATCAGAGACTACTCAGCTTGGGGAAGAGGCAGGTAGTGGTAGCTGCTGCTCCCCTTGCCTCAATCCGTGGAAGGTGGGCAGCAGCTGCCTCGTGCACCTTCTCAAGACTGGGATGACTGGTCTCAGGAAGGCAGGAAGACTTTCCCCCAGCTCCACTCCTCCTGGTCCCTAACAGGAGTTAACCCAGGGGAAGCACATACATGTTTAGTCTCCCAGGAGAAGTTTTCAGGAGCAATTGAACCCTGATTGTTGCTGGGATATTTTTCCCCTGGAGCAGCCATTTTGGCTTCAGGAGAAAAAGCCTGAACATCTGTACGTTTCTGGTTCCTATCAGGAGACTGGTAATGCTCCCGATAGAAAGTGAAAATCGGTGCCTGGCCTCAAGTTGCTTCATTAACGGTAATGCCTAATGTTTTGAGCATTTCTTTTACAGCTCAAACATTATTGCCGTGGTGAGATCCTGTTCAAATCTTTCTTCATTTTTTAATGTACATCTGATTCACATCAGATATCACTGTCACCTTTATGGAAAATTCAGAGGTCAAATCCTGGATGAATACAAAGTAGTGAATGAGTTATCACCTCACTAACCAAAGCTAAACTAGGCAAAAGTATGCATTTTTCCCTACCTTCACTGTTGGAAACAGTTTACACTTTTGGATTTATAGTTATTTTTAAAAATTCAGCTTAAGTGAGCTGAACATGTACTTTCACATGGAAAATTTCAGCCAAAATGGTAAAGGTTTGTAAAAGCTTCAAGCAATTGAAAATGTATCCTAAAATGGGAGGGGGCAGGCAGGTTTTAATAAGCAGTGCTACCAACCCTGGCTATAATAAAAGCATATCCAAGGTAACAAAATAACACTGAATCAGACTTCTTTACATTTTCCATGAACAGATGCTACCGATTCCATCTTCTTAGATCCATTTTTATGATTTCTCCTACACTCCCCTCACATGTAAGAGCTAAAGTTAACCCAGATGGAGGCTGAAGACTACTAATGGCATACAGCAATGCTCAGAGACTCCCAATGAAGATCAGAACTTCACTGTACATGGCACAAACACTCAATCTCCCAAGAGTTTATAAACCAAGCATGATACAGACAAAGGGTAGGAGAGAAACCAGATGAATAGAGCAGTGAAGTAGCTTGCTCAAGGTCACACAACTGGTAAGATCCAGTAAAAGTATCCAGGTACAGAATCAATACAGTTTAGAAGAGCCCAAAGGGCAGTCTCCCACATCAAAATCAGAATGATAGGTTCCAGCTGGAGAATGCTTCTTACTTGTAAAGATACACACGCAAAACTTTCATAGCAGCCCTAAATTTTAGAGCTCCCACTGATTCTTCAGGCCTGGAAGTTATAATAAATACCTTTCCACTTATAAAATGATCTTTTCCTCTCTGCTGGCAGTGACCAAGAGAAAAGTAACAAAGCACCAAGACATTCTTTTCAGACATCTTTCAGAGGAATAGCCACACTTGTATGGTAATATTTTTTAAATAGGTAAAAGGCACTGCTTAATTCCTGATGTTTCACATGAAAATAACTGGTTTCAAAACACCAGTTTTCCAATATTCTAGTTTATTCATAAATGACTGTGCACAAAGTGTGTTATGGGTTGGGAAAGAAGAAAAGGAAAGGACAGGCTCTTCCTGTGTGTATGAAGTGTTGGTAACATCATTAGTATTCTACAAGTAATAATTACTATTCCTGGAATTCAAAATCTTGAACTGATTTTTTTAAAGGTTTGATAAGTATATTGGTGTGTGTTCATTCCCTAATTACTTTAGTTTGATAAATAATATCAGTTGAAGATGTGAAAAGAACTGAGAACCTGATTCTCTTTTTTCCTTTTGAAAAATGTAAGTGCTTGTGAGATTTCCAGGGTACTACTCCTTCAGTCACTAGCCCAACATGAGGCCTACAAGCTCTGGCATACAGATAAGAAATCGCATGAGTGACTTTGAACCTGTCTACATCAGAGAGACAGCTCTAGAGAGAGCTGACCTGAAAACACACCTCACCTGCCCAGCTTGATTGATGCGAGTCAAATGTTTAAAAAAAGTAGTTTTTATTTGGCATGTGCCCACAGCTCAGTCTCAGTTGTGCATTTTTTTTTTTAAGGAGTACTTAGATCTAACAGCAGCTTCATGACATTTTCTTTTTTGGCAAGTGGTACACATGGAGCATGTTTTCAGACTGCACTCTCTAGCAGCTGAATACAGTATAGACAAGGCAGAGACCTTTGGGTCTGTTATATTCTGTGTATACATAGGCCAAGGTTTTCAAAAGTGACAAGTTATTTTAGATATCCAAGTGGAGACTTAAGAGGAGCCTGATTTTTCAAGAGTCTCAAGTGCTGAACACTTGTCCCTTGGAGTTCAGCTACGGTAAAGGTAATTCAAGTTGGGCATCCCAAATTACTTTTGAATGTCTTAGCGTTGCACATTCCCTTTCATCATGTGTGCTTCCCTCACCCTAAGGGGATGAGCAAGTTTGACAACCTAGGCCAGGAGTGTTGAACCAGATGAGTGGCTTGGGGCAGGCCCATGTGTTAGATCAGGCCTCAGACCCGTTGCCCCATCTGCATGCCTGATCCACAACAGGAGGTACCTACCTAGGGTGCCACTGGCCCATGTGAGAGTCATAGGCAGTGCTTATCCCAGACATTGTGCGGGGATAGTCTGGGGCAGAAAAAGGGTCAGAGGTTCCACGGGTCATAAGCTTGACACCCCTGGCCTAGGCCAAAAAACATTACACAGCTCCAGAGTAAGTAAGATTACCCTTTTTTGGTTGCTAAATCTCAGCTTCAATCTGCTGTTTTATTTATAGTACAATGTATAGCAAATCTTTTCACCTTTGGCAAGATCATTTGTCATTCCAGGAAATAATTGCTTAATTGAATGCATGATATATTACAAGGAAGTCAGGATAATAATGCATAAAAACTATTTGTAAATATACATTACATGTAATTATATAATCATATACTTTGCATAATAGATGCCTAAAACAAATTACAAAAACTGCAAAAAGTGAACACAAAAACAAAGCAAGGATAGAACAAAGCATTAGAGGCTTATGCTCACCTCCTTTCCTGATATCCCACTATCATTTATGGCTGTATTCTCCAGAACACGGCAGAAGACGAGGTGTTTATTCTTTTGCTGCCTGCATTTAGAGTTTACTTTCTACACCAACATAATGTATTATTAGTTGCAGTTTTCCCTACAGACATTTTAAGAACCTAGCAAGGTATCTCTCTGCATACAGATCAAAACAGCAAGGGATAAAGTTTCCACAAAGGGACGACTACTCATTTTGACCAATAACTTCTTTTGATAGTGCATCCAAGAACAGTTTTACAAAAACCGATCATTCCATCCATACCAATGCGTTTATGACTGAACAAGCTACTTCTAGACTATTTCCCCAACAGAAATTATAACAAATTGTAACTATAAAAAAATATTATTTGTAAAATGTAGCAGTATTGACATTACTGACAGTGTCCCAAATCAGCTTGTTATTAGAACTTTTACTATAAAAAAGTAAACAGATGCAATCACCTTTTCCTATTAAAGCAGCTAGTAGTATTTTTAAAAGAAGTTTTATTTCCCCTCTATCTGTCCCTGACTGTATTTCAAATCAAATGAGATTTGATAAAAACATCTGTCCTCTGTATAATCATATCGTTCCATTTTAAAGCAGCATGGCTCCAAATTGAGAGGTCTGTGATACTGCTGCCATTTAAGTCTAGTATGAATGACTAGTACAGTGAGCTCATGTGAAAAGTTTGTGTTACTCACTCAATGAGGAAGTCCATGATACCTGTTCCTTCCATAAGACACAGGAACTAAAAACCATTTGTTCCATAAGAAATATGAATTAAAGGGGCAAACAGAAATACAGCCTTAAACCAAAAAGTATAAATACTGTATCCTGCTTGCTGTAATGTAGAGAGAGAAAGCGGGCAGTCATTTCTGAAAATAGTACCAATTTCTGGAAGAAAAGTAATTAATGATTTGGAAACTGCATATGAAGAGAAAGAAGAACAGAATGGGAGCTGCCAGGAACATCTAAAATTGGCCAACAGCTGAAGAAACTGAAGTGGTTTTAGACCACATGACCTCTTCCAATCATGACTGTCCATGGGGTTTCAATATGAGGTTGAACATTTTGCTACAGTGACAGAAGTATGGCTTGAGCCAATGAGAAGTAAGAGTAGCAAGTAGTACCGGTGAAGGCCAAAAAGGGAAATGGGATTTGTAAATACAGATAAATTAGTCAGAAATCTACCAGAGTAACTTGGGGGGGGGGGGAGGGAGCAGCAGTGGATTTTTTCAACAGTACTGCACCCACTGTCTCTGTCTCTCTTGTCTCACAGGCCTCAGGGACCTATAATCACCTTAAATATAGCTTTCCATATCCTCCTACCTTGTACAG